AGCCCGCCTGGAGCCTCTCCCCGCCGCCAGGCCTTAGGGACCCCGAGCGCAGCCTGTTTTTCCGCGGTAGAGGAACCGGTGATCCCCGCTCAGCCTCTAAATCCTGCTCTAACTACTGAGCCTCACGACCAATTCATGCGTCTCCTCCCCCTCGCATTTTGCACGAGCCATTTGTGTATCCCCCTTTGCAAACCGCATGGAGCCCGCCTGGAGCCTCTCCCCGCCGCCAGGCCTTAGGGACCCCGAGCGCAGCCTGTTTTTCCGCGGTAGAGGAACCGGTGATCCCCGCTCAGCCTCTAAATCCTGCTCTAACTACTGAGCCTCACGACCAATTCATGCGTCTCCTCCCCCTCGCATTTTGCACGAGCCATTGCTGTCAACTCGGGGCCAAACCGCGCGCGGGAGGCTCCCAGGATCCCTGGGGGGCTCCCCAAATCAGCCGCTGGGTTCGTAGCTGGGGGGGGCTGCTGTAACCATCGGCGCGTTTAACTTTTGTCGAGGGTTTGGAGAGTCAGATTCTTCCCCGCCCCTCCCCCTCTCTGGTTATAACCCAGAGCCAAGAATCCCCCTGAACGAGGTTCCCTCCAGCACCGCTGTATGGGCGCCCCAGAGTCGCTGCAGCGGAACTCCCCGGGAAATCGCCCGGCCTGGTCCCGGCATCCCTGCTCTACACAGCGGCCCTATTTGGATCACGCGCATTGTTTTGAAATACATTGGAAATACCGGGCTGCTTATTCTACCTCATCGCAGGAGGATGAAGGGAGACGCTGGGACAGCCCTTTACTTCAAACTCAGAGCAGTGTGAAAGGTGCCAGATTTCAAAATACAAGGTGCAACTTGCCCAGCTCCAATTCTGTAGCTTAGGTTGAGGCCAGTCCAAGAGGGATGCTCGTAAGTAGAAGTCAGAGGGTGCATCTACACTGCGCCTTAACTCGAAATAAGAGAGGCGATGTGAGCTAAGCCTATTTCATCACCGCACCAAGTGTTGAAACAAAGCGCTATTCCAAAACGTCCCTTACTCCTGGGAGAAGGAGGCTTAGGGGATGTGAGAACAGTGAGCCGGAATATCGATCTTGCTGTGAAGACGTGGGGTAGCTATTTCGGGATACTCTGGTATCCCAAAATAGCATTGCAGTATAGAGGCACCCAGAATGGGGGATGGGGAGGGACAGGCAATTTTTGCAGGGCGCAGACTCAATGGAACAGATCCACGAGGCTGTGTCTACACGGTAATATTATTTTATCTGCAGAGACACAGTTATTTCAACATACTGTCAAGCTGGAGGACTTCTGACTCTTGACTCCTGTAACCCTCTTCGTATGAGTAAGGGAAGTCGGAGGAAGAGCGCTCAATTTCAAAATAAACGCTGAGTAGACAGCACCAAAACTAGAAAAGCTATTTCGAAATGAGCTACGCATGGCTGATTTCCAGCTAAGCCCTGCTGTGTAGACCCAGTCACAAAGGAAGGAACATCTGCGTGTGCGCAGGGCCAGGTCCCTCTCCGGCTCCTGCTAGGAGCGATTAGTGGTGATCCCGGCAGCGCAGCCTGGATAAAAGGCAACCCTCCCCGTTTTGAGCGGAGGTGTGCGCCGGGAGGCCCGAATCCGGCTTCGCCTCTGGTCCCCACCTGTTTAAATGATCCAGCGAGGTGCAAACCCCTGAGAACACCGCACCACCGGTGTATGGTGTCCAACGTTCCCCTTTCATCTCACAAGTTCTCCCAACACCGGGAAAGGCGGGTAGGCGGTAGCGCCTGTCCGTCCGTCTGTCTGTCTGTCTGTCTGCCTGCCTGCCTGTCTGCCTGCCGCGCCCCACAGCCAGTGAGGTTCTGGGTTCTTTTAAAACCAGGAAATTCTGCCCCAGCGTGTGAAAGGAACGAATTGTTCGGTGCGTCCTGCTCGTGTGTCCTTGTCGGTGCGTCTTTGTCTTTGCGGGCTAATGTCCAACCGAATGTGAGGACCGGGGGCTCCTGTTCTTGCGACCCAGCTCGGTAATTGCGAGGCATGAAAGAGAAACCTGAACCGAGCCGGGAGGAGAAAGGTTCTTTTTATTCCTGGAGGGTATAACGGGGGGGGGGGGGGGGGAA